AGACGGGCAGTTAGCTTAAAGAAGGCTTTTTAGCAAAGGTACATGTTTTCATGTATTTAAGCATTTGGTTAGTGATAACTATATTTAGTAATATATTCTGCTTAAATGAGATTCCCTGCAGTAATTGTTTGTTTTCCTTGTGTATTCACTCTGAGTTTGATTTGCCATCAAATATATTCTGCTTAGATGATTGATGCCAAGCATCATCCCGCTTGGGATGCCCCTTCTATTCACGTGCGTTTGTCAACGTCTGGATGGGGGGTTTGCTTGCTTTTGTGGCTGTTCCCTAGTTTTGAGCAGCGCTGGTGGGGTTCGGGTGCCCGTCCGAGTGATCTCACAAGCTCAGGGTGAGCAAATGAAGCAATTGAAAAAGCAAGTCCTGTTCTCATTTCTCCTACCTGTCCCTGAATGCGTACTGCCAATGTTTTTAATGCCAGCGTTGATGTTTTTCAGGCAGAGTTGTGAGCTGATTTCACTCGTTGGAATGCTTTTCTGCCATTTTGGGGAGGGGGGGGGAGAGAAAAAGAAAACTCAACTGCTCTGCAAGCTGGATAGCCTCACCAAAGGATCTGAGTGCTGTCGGGGTGTAAAGGAAAGGAGGGAAACATATGGCTGGAGCTGGAGGAGACTCCTTTCCCCTCTATTTCGTGTGGTAACGAGCATGATGTTGGCTGAGCTGCCTGTAAAAGGATACCCTCCGTTTAATGACCGTGTGACCAGACTCGGTCCTTCAGCACGTGGTGAAGTTGTCATGAGGCTTTTTTTTGCTTAGTCATGTATGAGGCAGTCACTCTGGATGTTAAAAATTAGCCGAACACAACAGTTTGCCAAATAGCTTCCTTTCAAGTGAAGGGTCAGGGGAAGGTGCAGGGGCAGGCCGGCGGTGGGGGGAAGATCAAGTGATGGCTCGCGTGCTGCCTCTGCTCGCCCCACGGAGACCTTTCAGAGCATTGGCAGCAGTTTTGGCGTGGAAACACCAGCAACTTGACTCAGCAGTTCAGATAAATTGTGCCAAGTCATCTGAAAGCGCCTGGGGGGAAGCAGCTTGTTTTGCTGACTGAAAAACCCGAGTTCCCCATTTAAAAAAAAAAAAATGTGGGTTGAACTGGCTAGAGCACAAGCTTAAAGGTAATATGAAGTCGAGGAAGCGGTGATGTAGCAAGCTGAGTGATAGGCTTTTCCACCAAATCCCGTGGCAGGCTTTTCGAATAGCATTGCCAACGCAATTACGGTCTTCTGCATCTGCAGAGCTCTGAAATATCTTCGCCAGCTTTGTGATCTGTAGCACGTGTGCGTAGTGGTAGCCTGTGTGGAATCAGTCATGGAAAAGCAGTATCTGTAGCTGACTTGACGAGAGTCTCAGAATTAAAATCCTGACTGCCTGGAGCCAGAAAACATGCTTACATGCAGCGGGTCCGACCAGAGGAAGTAATGGACTGATTCCACCTTTCCTGTTCGCTGTGATAAAAAGTCTGTGAGCTCCAACTGTCCTGGATATCAGCACTTTACCCTTGGGTTTTTAGTTCACCCTGAGTGCTTTTGCTTTCATTTTTATGTTTTGGTAGGGTTTTTTTTTTTTTAAAGCTTGTCCTTTTTCCACCCACCTCTTTTGTGGGCCGCCGCTGAGGGTATTTTAACTTGCTTTGCCTCATCCCAAGACATCGAAGAGGCCAAAAGCATTGCCAGGGTTCTCCTCTCTAGCCTGGAAGTGACTTTGTGCCCATTCAGCTTCGTTTGACATGCACCTGCAGTGCATCCGTTGTCCGTGTGGCCAGCGAGGTCAGAAAACCTGCTAGAAATGAGCTGAGAGCTGCTTGGGAGCTGAAGAGCAGGTCCAGCGGGTTTGTAGGGCGACTCTCGGCTGTGCTCATCTATCGGTTTTGACGCAGTTGTTTTCCTCTGTGCTATAATACATTCTTTTAAGCCTTGGGAAGCTTCGTGTTTAATCACCGTATCCAGTAACAAATAAGCTCTGGCAAGACTTGTGGCTGTCCTTAGTATTAAAATGTTTATCTTGTAGCGGGCAAGGCTGGTTTTTGCTTCCTTTGATGTTGAGAAGTAGCCGCAGAGGGAGGTCTGTGTTATTGCAGGATACCATATAAAGCAGCCTGGTATTTTAGCAGTGGTGTAATTTTTTTTTTATTTTTATTTTTTCCCCTGCTGCTCTTAAAATAAAATCTGGAAAGGAGGTGGCAGTGAAGGAGAAACACAAGCCAGTTAGTTGCACCACTGGAGGTTCAAATTTCAGAAGTGCCGCAGAGGTCTTTGCCAAAATGAGTCAAATGTTTTAAGTCTGTAAAGTGGCGCTAACTATAGGTTGAGTTAGCGGCTTAAGGAGATTTAGTCATACTCTTCAGCGCTGCGACTTAAACAGAGGAACAGCTTGCTATAATTGAAGCTGGTGGTGTTGCTTGTAGTTGGGATTGTATAATGGGGAATGACAGGCAGCCTTGTTCTGGTGGGCTATAAAAACTTTGACAGGCTTTAAGCATGTGAACGGACAGTTCTTCTCATGAGTGTCTCTTGTAATTTTTTTTCTGAAGTGTGGTGAAAAGGTAGCAGGTTTTAGAACAAGATTAGGGAAGGATGCATTGTTTTTCCCTATATCAGAAACTGTTTACAGCTGTTACTTGGATGCTTTAATCCCTTTTTTTTTTCCCTCCTGTTTCCTTCCTTTTGATAAAGGAGTTGAAACTTGGTTATGGACTAGTCACCTAAGCTTAGGGAAATGCCTTTTGCATTCCTATTAAAGCCACAGTGAATTTGGCTGTTCTTAAAAAAAAAAATATATATATATATATAAAAACTGTACGTGCTCAGATGTTTGTCTGGTTGTGTAGTCCAGACGTTTTGGGCCAGACCCAAAAGTACAGAGTTAGATTTAGGCAACCTTAAACACTTAGCGAGCATGCTTTGCCATAAGTGGGAATTGTACGTATGAATCATCTGGGAGCTGAACTTCTACACCCCTTTACTTGAAACATTTGAAGTGTTTGGAGGGGATTTGTATAAATGGGCTCTTTATGAAGTTAACTAGAGATAGATACGTTGGAGCTAAAAGTCATGATGTGAAACGCTGAGTACTGAACAGGTCCTGCGTATCTTGATTTAGGTGTCTAAAATCAGTGGTTACGTAGTGGTGCTCTTCACCATTGTCTCCATATGTAAAAGGGGCTGCCTGGCCTTTGCGAAAAGGTGCGCTAATTCTTGCCAAGTGCTTGGCTTGCTATGTGTGACGTCCTGAAAGCTGTGTGGAGAATTACATAAAACTGCACTGAGTATGCATTAAATGGGTCTATCCAAAACAGGAAACCAAACAAGTTGTTCGGGGGAACCCATTCGACGAATGAAGTCCTTTCTGTGCCAGCCTGTAATCAAGATCCGTATCTTAAAGCCTGTGCAAAAGCAGGGGGTCTGGGGTGGTCGTGGAGAGCGGTGCTTGCACGGGCAGCCGTTTATTCTGGTATTTCCTCTCTCTTTGCGGGGGACGTGGCGGTGAAGCATTCGTGTTCCCTGGCGTTCTGTATGGGGTTTTTGCTGAGATGTATATTTATTAGACGCCTTTCTGTGTTGCAGTGTGATGCATGGTACTGATTCCCCTTGCTGTCTAATTGAGCAGGTGTTCTGGCGCTCTGGGCCCTAATCACGCATGTGATGTATGTGCAGGATTACTGGAGGACCTGGTTAAAAGGGCTGAGGTTCTTCCTCTTCATCGGGATCCTCTTCTCAGCTCTCTCAGTGGTGGGATTCTGCACATTCCTTGTTCTGGCCATCACCAAGCACCAGTGTAAGTACTTTGTTGCAGTAGGCGACTGGGAGAAATGACTAGCGATGCTGGGATTACTGGGATTGGATTTGAGGGAACAGAAGAGCCTGCAAAGCAGGGCTGGGGTGTGAATGTGGGGGTGCTCCTGCCATCTCTTCTGAGAGGTGTTGAGAGACTTTTAGGGAGGGGCTGCAAGAGTGCCATTGCATTTCATTTTTCTGCTGTGATATCTTGATGACACAAGAGTAATTCTGCTGCCCGATGAGTGCCACTCCCTCAGGGCATCTTCTAATATTTGATAGCTGCCTTGATACGCCTGGTCTATAGGACTGCTGGCAGGCAGTCCACGTTTTCCAACATTTTTTCCTATAGGAACTGGAATTTACTTATTTCTATGACAAATACAGGGAGTGCTCTTAAACGTCGTCTCTTCAGCACTCATAAAGCAGGTGGGTGAGGATATTGGAATCCAAACGCGAGTCAGCAGGGTGAAAATGCCTTCTACACTTAGTCAGCATATAAAGCTGTGTTGCTATAAAATATTTAACATTGTCTAAGGCGGGTTCACGTAATTACTCCCAGTATTTGCTTGGCAGTAGACCAAAGAGAGAAAGTTTGGGTTTTGTTTTTTCAGAATTTGTCTGTTTGTTGCTTGCTGCATTTGGGCAGATAGCCACTAAGAGTCCTGTTGTTATTGTATTCATGGTGGTGGGCAAGCTGTGTCGGGGTCATAACCCACCAAAAGCCCTTGGTTTAGCCTAAATACACTCCCCGTGGAGATTTGAGTGCTTCAGCCTAGTGGAAGGGTATGAAAATACTCGTATGCAGTCGTTAGAAATACAAATGTAAAAAGAAAACCAAATATTTTTTCATCACCTCCTTTCTTGGAGACATGAGGAAAAACTGTTCTGGGGAAGATTTGGGGTTTTTTTAGGGAAATGGAGATATTTTAGGGAAAGCCCTAATTTGGGGGGAAAGTAGAACATCTGCATAGGTTATTTATGTATGGAAAGTTTAGGACCGGTACATTTAATGAGTGGGGTTTACTGAGTAAGTATTGTTTTGTGTATTCTTTAAAAAATTATCTATCTTTATTTTTTAATAATGACCAAGCAGCTTGTGCTTAGAGGTGGAATTGTTTTACGCATTAGGTTATGTATGAAGTGTATTTCAAAATTGTTGACATCTCTAGAACAAAAAAACCCCGAAATGCTGAAAATAAATATGAAGACTGCTGACATGCACTCAAAAAGCAGAACCATACCCACTTGACTTCAAAGTAATCCCTAAGCAGAGGCAGTTTTATAATAGATAAAGAAGAAATGTGTTCATTTGCAAAGGTTCTCTAAAAAGAGGCTGTTCATGTCATTCACTGACGTGTGGTTATCACAGCACTGTATTGAAGACCTGCAGTACAGGTTGAAGTGCACCAGTATTATATATTAAATGTCGGTCACAATGATTGGTAAAAGCATTTTTAGAAGGAGAATATATTCTATCTCCTGTTTTCCCCCGAGATGTGCAGATTTCCTCTCTCCCTGCCACGGTGGGGCAGAAGGGAGTAGTAGTGAGCCAGGGTGAGCAAAATTAAGAACTGCAGGTTGAGGTGGTTTTCTTGAGCCACATGTTTCTGCCATCCAGGAATTCACACAAACTCCATCCGTTGGGCCCTGAGCGAGGAGAGTTTGGGGTGGCGGAGTGGGTGACCTTGGAGCTCTTAGGATCTGCCTCTCAAGAGATAACAACCTTCTTCAGCCTGTGACCAGAATACTCTCCTGTGGCAAGAGATGAGGAAATTTTACAATCTGAATCAAGAGAGCTGGGAATAAGGCACTGATTAAGCCTTGCTCGTGGAACGAGATCTTTAGATACAGGCTGAAAAGCTCCCAGGAACTGGGGGGCTGAGTTGGGTTCTTCCTGGCCAGACTGCAAGAGGGATAAACGAGATTCTTAAACGTATCTGTATCCTTTTCTCTCCTAGCCCTGACTGATCCCAGAAGCTACTACCTGTCGTGCGTCTGGAGTTTCATCTCCTTGAAATGGGCCTTCCTCCTCAGTTTGTACGCTTACCGGTACAGGAATGAGTTTGCAGACATCAGTATCCTCAGTGACTTCTAACGCTTGGACTTCAATCCTGTCTGAAGGTGCTGGATGTTTGAATTGCCCCCCAAAGGCATGGTACGTGCAAGAGATGTACAAGAGGCGGAGAAGGAACCCACCCAGTGCTGCTTGGTTTGTCTGTCTGCAGTAGGGGTTTTTCCTAATTGCTTTTACTCAACCATTTAAAGTTTGGCTAATGATGTTGATCTAGTCTTTCTGTAACTTCCCTGGGAGTCCCTGTGTCTGGTAGTGAGGTGAAAGACTCCATGTGCTCACACACAGCAGGCCTAGATCCACTCTTTGTGTTGCCCCGAAGTCCAGGGGAGCTTTCAAGTGAGGAGGAAGTCCTGGGCCCTCCAGGAGCTGTAGGTTCATACCTCATGGACGCAGCACCCCAACATCTTGTCCTTGTGAGTGCATCACCAGGTTGCTTCAGGTGGGTGCCTCAGATGTGTGTAGCAAAGAACCCTGCTGTGTGAAAGTCAGCTCCTTTTGCACTGCTCTGCTCTTCAGAGAAAGGGAGAGATGAGCCTTTCTTTGTGGCAGAAGTCCCTATGTACCTTCCAGCCAGTACCCCGCATCTTCCAGTGTTTTCTTTTTACACGTTGTACACAAAGTCAGCTCTCTCCTGTGGTCCGGATGAGCCCCAAGGGACGGGCCAGCAGCAGAGAAGCGCTAGTCATCTCAAGGCTCTGTCAGAGGTGGAGAATGCTGATTCTGGCTGCTATCCAGGATCATTTTAAAAAGGAACTTAACACCATATTTAACACTTAAATTTGTAGCATGTAGAATCGGGTGTTTGGGTGAAAGATGTGCTGGGCAAAGGCTTACCTACCCGAACCTCAGGAGAAACATGAATATGATTCTTCAAAAAAAAAAACAAACCACCATCTTTTTGTAGGCAGTACTGTGTTTCCTTTTCTTTGCTCAGCTTCCCTGTAACAGTCAGCAGGATGAGAGACGGGAGGAGCCATGGTACTCAAAAATCAGAAAGGTATCCAGAGTCAGCCTCCAGCCAGCCTCTGTAACGCGTGCCACCGGCATAATGCAACCATAGATAAATGGCTGGGCCCTCGTGCAGTGAGTTAGGAGGTGACAGGTCTATACTCCTGGGCTGGTGTGCTGGAAACAGCGGGGCTCGACCGGCACGTCTTTCGCCTGATGGCAGTGAAGCCTTCCCTCTGCATGTCGGCCATGCGTGGCGCTGCTCTGACAAACCTAAAACCTGAGTGGATTTAGTGACCTCTTTAATCCCTGTGTTTTCCTCCCTGCCAGCAGCTAGCCTGAGAAGCTTGAAACCTTCAAGTGTTTACATCTTTCCTTGTTAACTGTGCTGGTACTTCACACCAGCTAAAGGTTTTGGGCTGCTGCTCTGGCAGAATCCAGGCTGGTGTTTTGCCATGTCAGGCAGATGGTGCTGGCTACTACAAACTGGAAATGGCAACTTCCATGAATAATTCTACAGGTGGGTGAGAAGAGAGGCAGGAAGAAGCCCCCTCCCCTTGCAGACCGATGGAAGACGAGCAAGGCAGGTGTTTGGAGGAGTCTCCCAGACACAGTTGTCCTGCCACTTCTCTAGGTGCTGCTGGAGCCTTCGCTGAAGTGCCTTTTTGGCAATCTCTGGCAGAGGGTGGGTGACGGGACCTGCTCAGGGTTTTGTGACCAAGTGAGGTGCGAGTGGAAGGTCCTATGTGCTCTGTTGTCAGCCCAGCTTTCTCTCATGCCACACAAAACTCCCCAGTCTGGTTTTGTGCAGCTGTCTGCTGGGGAGTATCTTGGACTGTCCTTTCTGTTATCTTATCCTAGCGGTGTGCTCTGACTTTAGCTGTGTTTGAATCCCTCTCCACACTCGAAAGCTCCATCCACACCTTCGCTGGTCTGTGTTTTGCTTTGGAAGATGAGTGGTTCAGGCACACGGTAATTCATTTGAGGTGTTGAGGGCATTTTGGAAGTGCATTCCCTGATTTCGTGGGTGGGAAGATCCTCAGGTGACTTAACTAGATTGAGGAACGTCTTTGGGTCAGCTTGTAAACCGAGGTTGTAGCCAGCTTTTGCCCAGGGACCTGCTGGAGTCACTAAACCCAGACAAAGGCTGCGAATATGAAATGCGCTTACTTATGAGGTTAATACTCAGGCTTTTAAATACTAAAATCTCCCTTACTGCTGACGTCAGGCTGCCAGCATGCCTGGCAGGGGATGGAATAGCTCATCTCGCTTCTCTGCCCAAAGCCGTGGCACCCACTCTTGGAGTTTGCGAGTGGTTTTAGCGTTGGTCGTTTCAATAAGCCATCTCTCATCTTACGTTTCCCCAACACAACACTGCCCACGCGTTTGCTGTGCCGGTGCAAGCCCCAGCTCTGATAACCGGATTGTGGTGTGCTTGGGACGCAGAAATCCCGACACTGGTCAGACTGATGGAGCTCTGCTACTGCCTTACAGCAAAACATTGTCCCTGTCTCTCACTAAATTACAGAGCCCTCCTGCCTGCACGCCACTGGCATCTCATAGCGGCACGTCAGGGGCTCCTTTCTTGGGCACGTGTCCCGAAGTCCTGTCGGCTTACCGCGGAGATTTTTAAAGTTTATTTTTGTGACTGTAAAATTTGCCTACAAACAGCTCACTGAATCTAACCCCCATTTTCTCCCTGACATGTTTTAGCTCTGGAATTTATACCTGCATCTCAGCTTTTTAAAAGATTGTGTATGTAAATATATAATATATTTTTACATTGTTTATGCTTCGTTTGCACGCTTGGTGTAAGATTTGGTCCTGCGGTGGGATGATGTAATTCACAGTGGGGTTCATTTGTGTGCATCCCAGTGTCTCCTTGTACTAAACCACACTATAACTTGTATGCGACACCACAGTAAGAGCAGAAATACAGTCATCTTTCTCACCAAACCAGTGCCTGGAGTGATTTTTCCCTGTCAAGTTGTTAAATTCTGTCTCTCTCCCTCCCTTGATGACGACCTGCAGGAGCATCACTCTTTGCGGGAAGGACGGGTGAATTGTACAAAACACTTTGCTTTTTGGGGTGATGTGGAGCTCCGGCATTTCTCTCTGTTGTGCTCTGTCCCTTGCATCTTTATCAGCACCCTCAACATCTGGATCCAGAGGTGGTGATGCCTAATGTGTTCCCCCCCCAAATCCCTTTGCATTTTGGGTCTTCAGCACAAAGGAATTTTTGAGCAAGTGATGTTGTTTCCAGCCCCTTTCTGTTTGAACTGCAGCGTGTGTGTGTGTAGTCTGCACCCCGCAGCAAACGGGCGAGGGGAAGGGATGCTTGTGGGTGGGGGGGCGGCTGGATAATCTGCTGCGATGGGAGCACTCCTGATTTCCGTGCCGTTGTCGTCCCCACCTCGGGCATGCCACCACTACTGCCTGCAGAAGCCAAAACTCGACCCCCTTTTTAGCAAACCTGGCTGCAACTTCAAGCACTGTCTCCCCCCCCCTTCCCTGAAATGTAACTCTGATGTGCAGTATCGTATTTGAGCCACGAATTTTCTCTTTTAAGAGATCCCGGGAAGGGTGGTTTGTGTACAGGGCTTCTCATTTCTTCCAGCAGACGAAGCACAGCCGCAGAGGTAAGAGCATCGCTCGTGTACGTGTCGTATTGCCAATCACGGAATTAGACGTAGGGTGCTGATTGTGAAGTCCGGGGGGGTTACAAGCAGTGCTGCCCTTCTCTTCGCAAACAAGGCCATCTGGTAACTTAAAGGAGTTGGAAAGTTGCAGGCTTTGGTGGTGTAACGGTGGAGGGCGTAAAATAGTCTGGGGGGGTGTGGATATTTCATCTTCCTGTGAAAAACCGTATGCTGACTGCCTGGGGACAGGGTGCTGACTTTTTTTTTCCCTCTTTGGGACTTCCAGATTTTATTTTTGCTGTTGGAATGAGACAGTCTGGGTCTCTTCTAGCCGTCTCACAGTCCCTCTTACCCTCTCAGCAGCTTGGCCAGAACTTGCTGTCAGCGTGGGCTGATTAGCCTGGCGGTGATGCCAGCTATCTGAGGCAGCTCTTTGTTTTATTTTCCCCTGTTGGCCTCTGATTTCTCTTGCCTTGTCCGCAGCCTGGAGAGAGACAGTGCAGGCACTCGCTTATCTAATCTCGTAGGTGGATCAGACACGTCTCGTCCAGGCTGCGTCCATCTCAATGCGGAGGAGTTTGGATTAAGCCACCAGTTTCCTAAAGGATGGAGAAAAAAGGACGCTGTAGCCTATGAAGGCTCTCTCTGTGGGATTTCAGGCGTCGTTGGCTGCAGCGAGAGCTTGGTGCCCATCTAGGAATGGGCCGAGAGAGATGAGTAGGGCCATTCCCCTGCAAACGAGTCCTGGTAATAGGTGCATGTATGTGCCTGGGCTGGACAGAGGATAAACAGCCTGCTGCTTCTGCCAAGCAGATCTGATGCCATGGACGGGGCAAGGGTTAGTGCTTTGGTGGTGTCTAACCGGGCTCAAACCGGTGGGGACGATGCATTTGCTCTTGCCATCTCCAAGCGTAAGCACTGCCCAGCCTCCTGCTGCACCGTGAACATCTCCTGCACCTCCCGCACAAGCCCTCAGCGGAGACACCCACCCTTGCCCCAGGGAGCAGCGAAGGAGCAGCGGGCTGGAAGGAGGCCCTGCGTGGAGGCATCCATCCTGCGTGGAGATGCCCGTCCTGCGGCCCCGGCGCTGTCGCCACCTTCTCCCGATGGCTGAGCAACCTCGCCTGGATTCACACGGGAGGTGTAAATCCCTGCGCCCGCAGGTGAGATTCCCAAATCCCCTCTAGCTCTGGGTGCGCAGAAGCTTCCCTCTGTGCTTGTGCTTCTGGTATTAGGCCCGTCTAAAAATTGCTGGGGTCGTATGAGCAATTAGCTCTTGCCTGAACGCCAGCTGCGGTCTCGGAGCAAGCTGCCTGTCTCCCCTGTGTGGTCTCAGCTGGTAAGCGTGCTCCCAGCAGGCTCCTCCAGCGCCTGCGCTTACGGCATTCGCCACCGGCAGGCGAGGGGGGAAACGGGAATCCTGCACCTCTTCTTCCTCTTGGGATTTTGGGAAAGAGAAGGCAGTTTTCGGAAGCTGAGCAGGGAGGGGAAATGCAAGGCAGAGTCTTAAGTTCAGTGCTGAAGGTTGGCTGGAAGTTTGGTGGGAACCACTGCTCTGCTCTTCCAACCGAGCACCAGACGCGGGGGTGGCTGTGTGCCCCCGTTGTGGGCTGATGCTGGTGGAGATCCCTCCTCTCCAAACCTCGCTGCAGGCTGGGTACTGTGCTGAGCCAGCCCTTGAGCGGCTCTTCCCCTCCCAATTCTGCCTGGTGTCACGAGTCCTGTCACTGATGCTGGGACCAGGACCCTGTGCCCCCCCCCGTGACCGAGTCCCCTGGGTCAGCGAGGTTTAGGGTAGGGGGAGGCCCCTGCATCTTGATTCCTGGTCATCTGTTTTCCGTAGCCTTGCCAGCCAGTGCAGTGCCTGGTGGGAGGCCACGGTAATTAGAACATTTGGAATAAATTTGGGAAGCGTTGGGACGGCGTCTCCCCCTTTTGATGCTTTTCCTGCAGGAGGGAAGAGTCCAAGGCTCCGCAGCCCTGTGGTTGGGAGCACCAGCCAGCGTTGCTGTGTGGCGAGCTCCGCTCCGGCTCCAATTACAAATTAAATGAGTTTGCCGGGCTCAGCCGCATCCTCGGTGGCGTGACTGGCCATCGCCTTCTCTGCAAGGACCCGGAGCAGCTTCGCTGGGGGCTTCTGGGGCGAGAGGTGAGAGGTCTCCTCTGGGGAAGGGAAGGGGGCAGGTGGGGTCCCCCCATCCCGGCACCAGCAGCTTTTGGCGGCAGCATGGGAGGGAGGGATGTGGGAGATGGGGCTAAGCCCCCGGCCTGCCTGGGAGCACCCATGGGTGCAGGGTGGGCAGTGGCCGGTGGAGGGCAGCAGTGGCCCGGCCATGGCTGGGGGGGAGCTGGGGCCCGGCCAGGAGGAAGATCTTCATCCCCATGACACCCACACCACGGGGATGTGCGTCCAGCTGAGGGTCTCCCTGGAGCTGCGGGGAGGGGATGAGGCTGGACCCCTTTGGGGATCGCCAGCTCCCACCGTGGTCACCCCACCGTCCTGGCCAAAACCCCCGTTTCCTTGCCGGCTGAGGTCTGCAGAAGTCCTCGTTTCACACCTACGCCCCATCCCAGGGCGGTGGGAGGGTCTGGCGGGGCGGGGAGCTGTGGCCGGCAGCCACCGCGGGGCATTTTGGGGCTCTCCTTTCCTCGCCAGGGTCTCGCAGACGGCGCTGGGAGCTGCTCCTGCACCGGGAGGTTGCTCCTGGCACCGTTCCCGGCTCGTTCAGGCCGAAATCCCAGCTGGTTTTGTTCTGCTGAGGAGCCACCGAGTCTCTGCCGTCGACGGGGAGGTGATGAGGGCTGACAGTGCTGTGGCATACGCACCTGGGGATGCCACGTGAGCCCTTCCCAGGGTGAGCGCCGGGGGGGATTTCTCCCTCCCCTGCATCAGGTCCAGGGGCTGAGCTCGGAGCCGCAGCAGGTCCAGCACTGTGTCACCACGCTCCAGGGTGTCCCCCGGGCTGGGGACTGCGTGGAGGCCACTGAGGAGCTCAGCATGGTCCTGCAGTGCCTATCGCTGGCTCTCCGGGCGTGGGATGCTCAGGGATGTAGGTACCCACTGGGCATCACCGGCGCTGCTCCTGGACGCTAGCACAGCGGCGCTGGGTGTCGTGCGATGCTTTCCGGTCCCGCTGCCTCTCTCGGTGGGTTCACAGTCACAAAGCTGCCTCTCAGGGTGGCTGCAAGGGCCAAAGCAGAGCAGGTATGAAGGGGAGGGATCTCCCTTCTCTGCTTGGTTTGCAGTGGGGAATCCAAGTCCCCTGAGTGACAGTTTCCCCCCACCCTGTGCTATGGGATGGGTTTGCAGCTCAGTGGATCCAGACACCCTCCAAAGGAAGGGTAGAGCAGCCCTTGACCGCCCTGGTCAGGAGGGTAAAAGCCTCCTCCTCTCCTGGGGAAAGGTTTCCAGCCCTTGCTCTAAACCAGGCAGGGCAGCACCCCAGCCCACATTACCTGCTGGTCCCTCTGGTGTTGGGATACAAGGGGAGCAGAGGTCCCGTGTGGCTCTAAAGATCCAGAGCAACCCCCCAGGCAGACTTGAGTCCATCATCTTGCCATGAGAGCCCTTCTCTACCTGCAGACTCCCCAAAGTCTTGGCGATCCCAGCCCCACTCTCAGGGTAGACCGGGCTTTACGATCCAACAGGACCTTTTTCATGCAGTTGCCCAGTTGTCACTTAGTTGGAGGAGCAGCGGCGCTCGTATCACCCGGCACTTGGCAGCAGAAGGAAGCCTTCAGAAATCGGGCAGCATCTGCTGGATTTGGCACGTGTGTTGGGGCTTGCAGAGGACCTTTGGTGTTGGAAGGAGCCTGCCGTGAAGCACAGCTCTGCCTGCAGCCTGGCAGGACTTAGTGCTGAAGATGATGACCAGGAGGACCTGCTCCGGGCTCATGCCCGTGAGTCCAGCATCCAGACGTCACACCACCGGTGCACGTCTCCAACAGCTTGCTGAGACCCACTGGGTTTGGGGTCTCGGCACCCTCCCAGAGGGTCCGTTGCTTGCCTGCGTCGGTGGCCCTGATCCCACCTTCCTGCCTGAGCAGCGCTTGAAGATATTCAAAGCAACATTAACAAAAACAACAGACTTTTTGCATTTTGGCAATCTGCTTTCAAGATGTGAGGAGGACGGAAACGGTGTTTCAAAGGCTTTGAGCGCTGCAGCCCCGCCAGACGTGGAGGCCTCTGCAGATGAGCCTCACTGGAGCTGCTGAACGTGGGCCTTCAAAGGTGAGTTTGAGTGGAGAAGGATGCTCAGTGCCTGCTGGCCAGGATGACGCCGTCCTTGGTGTGTTGGGTCCATGAATCTTGGCTGT